ACTTGTATATATATATATATATATATATCTTAAAAGAGGCAACTAAAAATTTATACACCAATTACATAGCTACAATGTCTATAGATGTTAATGCTTTACTATCCTTGGCCTAACGCTAATCCGACTTCTCGTCGTTAAGTTTCTTCTTTTTTCCGACGTGATCTAAGGGGCCATCCACGGGGGGTGGCGAGTGGGTGCTCTTTGGTAGAGCTCTGGTAGCATACGCATCACAGTGATCCAGAGTGTACAGATGTTTAGACGAGACAATGCTAATAAAGGCGTCCTCGCCGGGTATCTGAGGTGAAGTATAGTAGCAAGGGATCAGCGGGGGATATGCACTGGCACTGGCTGCCAGGTGGTACAGAACTGTCATCAGGGGGAAAGCGCCAAGACTTGGCCTCCATTATTATTATCGGGCGATTTGAATGATGCACACAACCAGTAGTGGATGCACGAAGAGATGTAATGCATGCACAAACCTATAGCGTACAACACGGCACGTGGCCAGAAGTTTAACCAAATCCCAATACCACGTACTCTGTCCACTCCAACGTAGCGGGAGTTTTTGCATGTACAAAACTATAGCGTACAACACGGCACGTGACCAGAAGTTTAACCGAATCCCAATCCCACATACTCTGCCCACTCCAACGTAGCGGGAGTTTTAGCATGTACAAAACTATTGCGTACAACACGGCACGTGACCAGAAGTTTAACCGAATCCCAATCCCACATACTCTGCCCACTCCAACGTAGCGGGAGTCGGCCAGAAAGTTCTTCTTCGTCAAACGACTCGATGACGTCTTGTTTCCCTTGGCCTCCCAGGAACCGGTGGCAAACTGCGGAATAGAGCGAATAGAATGTTGACCAGTGGTATTGCGTTGCACTATATGCAGCGGTGACTCCGACTACAACAGCTCATACTCGGTATGTAAAATCGTAGCAGTCCTGAACTCAGCTCGAATTCAGTGCCCATAGATAGCACTCATACCCCGATGCAAATGCTACACACAATGGAAACCCTGGACAACGTTCTACAGCTGAAGGTTCTTGTCCCAGCGAGATGCCATAGGAAAACGTTACCGTTTTTCGCACCGGATACCCGGGCTACGGTGGTCGAGAAAAGAAGATGCGAACGAGCATGCATACAGAGCGGCACACATAGGTGCTACTTACCTCGCCATCAATACGACCAAATGCGAATGCAGTGTTATCCAGGCTACCCGACAGGTATACTTTATTGATCTGTAAAGTGAAGGCAATGTTTGAATAAGCTGCCCATAACCGTTATATGCGTCGGCCGCAGCGACAGCAATGCAGCCCTTGGATAAGGCACACGATGGCACCAAATACTGAGATTGTCAGTGGTAAAGCGCTGTTGTGGCCCATGCATAAAACATCAATAGTACTGGCTGGTTGGGATTGTGCGATGGAGCTCATCGGTATCAGAACATGCGCGTAATGATTGGTATACACCACACACATGACTCGATGAATGCCATCCACTTGCAACCAAACGCTTCCTCCGTAGTCTTCAAAAGCGGAACGTGTATCAAGTACATGATCGTATAATAAATGAATGGCTATACAAGCAGCCCCACCAGGGAAGGATAAGAGCACCCAGTTGATCGCGCTATCCATGATATAAGTCGGAATTCACGACACACACGAGTTACTTGGAACTTCACACCCATCCAGACAAACACTACAGGACAACATACGTCAAACTTTAAGCCGCCTCTCCACGAACCACTAGCCCTCCATCGCCTGGGGTCGATGAAGAACGCCACTCGATCAATACCCGCCGCGCATATTCCTTTTTTGTTGGATGTGATTGTGTGCAGCACCCCACTCCCCGGCTGCGAGTGAGACCACAGTGATGTGTTATAGCGTCAAATAACCACGAGATGGTATTTTAAGGTAGACATTGGGGGAGACTACAACGCTTGTGGAGTGTCTCAAAGTGTTGAGCCGGTGGGGATGGCTTATTTTGTGAGACCACAATGGAATGTTCTGAGGTAAATATTGTGAGAGATGCATCGCTTACGGAGCGTTCCAAAGTGTTGAGCCGGAGGAGAAAGTATTATCTAT